GCTAAAATTTGCTGGGTGTAGTGGCCATTCTGAGGACAGAGACAGACAGAACTCTGACTTTGAAGTTAGCATGTGAGTTTTAGGACAGAGAAACTCCATCTTGAAAAAAACCAGGAAAGCAAAAAAGAAAAGCAAGACAAAAAATAAAAGCAGAACTGAAATTCAAGGACTGGGCCTTGAAAGACAAATTATGGCCAGCATGAAAGGCTTTGTTTGTTTGGAGCAAGAAGAAGATGTAGGTCTTGTTTGGAGAGAATAACATTGAGCAGTGACAGAGGAAGCAAAATATACTGCGGTTGTATTCTGTTTCCATCGCAAAGCAAATGGTTATCAGCTAGGAAGAGCCATCCAGGGCAGAACCATGCTTTCACATCTCTTAGGCCACATAGATTATGCCCCAGCACAGCAGGAGAATTGGTAGATTCGAGTCATGACCATCTGGGGAATGGAGGAAGATGGGTGCCAACAGGCTGGAAGCATATAAAAGTTCAGGATGCTAAGAGCATCTTGTGCTTGTGCTCAGGACCAGTGAGCTTATTATCACTCTCAGGAAAATTCTGGACTGGATTATTCAACAAGGAGCTTTGAATGCTGTCAGAGAAACAACCCCGAGAGATGGAGTCAGGCTAATGAGTGCTCACCTGTCTGATACGAGGAAAGACATGCTATGGCCTTGCCTAGGCAGCAATCAGCCAGACATCCTGGGTATGCTCTGAAACCTTTATAGGCAAGACGGAGATGTCCAGAGAGCATACAGGAAGGTGATGGCAAAGGTGGATTTATTTATAATTGGTTAGATGAATATACATAGAAAGCAGTGTTGTCAGTCTGTCTGCCCAGCCCAGGTCTGTTCTCAGTTTAATCAACGACTGGACTGAGAATATCAATGCCAAGTCAATCGATCAGTTATGTCAGTGATGTAGAGTCTGGAAGCAATGCCGAGATGATGGATGCGGAGTCAAGTTCAGAATCATCCAAACTACCTGAAACTCTAGCCAGCTAACATAGTGTTCTGTTCTTAGCTTCCACAGTGGACAGGAGAGGAGAGGGTAGCCTGTGGGAGAAAACCTGAGTAACATTTCGTTGACAGCGGGAATGCTGTATGAGTTGGTAGTGTGATGAGGTTGCAGAGAAAGACAATTTGATGACAGCTTTAATAGAAATAAGCTGCCCCGGACAGGAGTGATCACAGAGCCCCTGAGATCTGCGCTGGTTAGGCCACATACTGTATTTATTTCCACACACGCCACTCCACTTCCGGACATGGCACTCTAGCTCTGACAAGCTCAAATGAATCCAAGGGAGGGTGACTCAAACGGATGGAGGATTTCAGAACCTTGTCAAGAGTGTAGTTGAAAGTTGGGGCCATGTAGCCAAGAAAAAGAGGCTGTTGATGGGACGCAAAAGCAGCCTCAGGGATGCCAGGGAGAGGGATTCAACTACCGGGCTGCTTAAAGGCCGGTGGGTTGAGAATTACAGGGAGGCAGATTGCTCAGCCACCATCTCCCTCGGTGAAGCAAGTCTCGGGGGATTTTCTTTGCCCTCTAATCTGGCCTTTCCAGAGCACCAGAGGTTGACTAGTACCTGACAGCATTTACTCCTGGTCTCCTTTTCAAGACCTTTGTTCAGCAGGGAACTGACCTGGCCAAAGGCAGTTTGGATGCTGGGCCCAGGATAACAGCCAACAAATTTCTATTAGCCATCACCATTCCTGCAGGAGGAGCCAAAAGCGCCTGTAGGACCCCATGCATTGTTAGCGGCCTCACCAGACTCATCTCATTTCAGTATGATGGTGGCCCTGCTCTTACTTTTTTCATCTAGGAGATATTGGAGTTTAGGGAAAAGGTCAGGCTCTGTAGAGCACATGATGGTATACACCTGGAATCCCAGCACTCCTGAGGTTGAGTCAGGAGGAGAACAATGTGTGTTCAAAACCAGCCTGGGAGTTGGAGGGGTGGGGTGCTGACATGCCTCAACAGATTAAGGCAGTTGCACAAAGCCTGAGGGCTTAAGTTTGAACCCTGAGCTCCATGTGGTAGGAGAGAACTAACCATGTAAGTTGTCCTCTGACCTCTGCACACTGGCACATCTTTGCACACACACTAAATAAATAGATGTAATAAAAAGACCAGCTTGGGCTACATGTCCGGACCTTGTCTCAGAAAGAGAAAGGTCATTTGCCAAGGTCACCTAGGACTTGAACCCATGATGTTTGATGCTCTGCCCCCTACAGCATGTTCCTGGTTCTGTGTCCCCTGGGCCTCCCCAGAAGCCCCTCTCCTTCCCAGCCCCCACTCCTGATAACTCTGCCTTCTCTGTAGAGAACTCGGGGAGATAGCCCAGCTGAAAAATTGGGCCATGCTGCCGAGCACACTACTTATTTTTTTATGACTAAGATTAAGCTGACAACCATGCAAAACATTGCAAACCTGTGTCGGCTGCAGATTTAATACCTCACCCAGCCCACACAAATAATTCATGCTTCTGCATCGATGTCCAGAAAAAACAAATCAGCAAAAAGCCGGGCTCCTGCGTGTGTGAAGCAGCCACCTTTCCATTGAAGCAGCATGCCGGAAATACCCAGGCTCTAGGAATGCAGATCTAGCATTTTGAGATTTTTTTTTTTTTTTCTTAAAAGATTAAGGTATGTTTTCTCAAATGATTGAAGGTTGGTGGGAGGTGTAACTGTGGGCACTTGTCACATTAATTCTTCCGATGATTAAGCTCTTTGCTGCTTCTTTAAAGCTGTTTGCAGTTGGGTTTGATGTCCTCTTTCTGGGTGAGTGTGTTGTGGCAGTTACCAAGGTGACTTTAGCTGACTTTCAACAATTTATTTTTCCCTCCAGCTTGAGACTCCCTAGCCCTGTGCGCTATGTGACTCTTCTCTACCAGCCCCCACCCGCCCTACCTCCAATGGCTGTTCATCAGCCTTTTTGCCTATCCCGCAGAGGCTGGGATCCTCCAGAAGGTCCCGCCCCCAGCAGGCCAGGCCTCAGCCCCTGGGCAGCAGGGCAGCATGGGGACAGGAGAACCTGTTATCAGATAAGAATCATATCCTGGCTTTGCCGCTTAGCTCACTCAGTGGGGTTCAGGGTGGGGCTCAGTGGTAAAGCATTTGCCTAGCATGCATGAAGCTCTGCATTTCAACCCTGCACCCCCAAAATAAACTCCCACTGTAACCTTGATGTTATCTCTGCTCACTTTATTTATAAAAGGGCTAATAGTTTCCATGCTTGCTGTGAGGACCCAGGGAGGAACCTGTGCATTTAATGGAGAGCCTGGCATAGACAAAGCACTCAACAAACATGGCTGCTCTTGTCTCCTGTGTTCTGCTCTTGTTTAGGCCCCAGGGGCACCCCATGTCACCTCTGAGCCCATCAGTCGTGCCTGGATGAGATGTGGGGTGCCCTCGTTGAAGGCAGGCATAGAAGGTGGTCAGAAGCCCACAGTTCACAAGCTGGCCTGCCCCAGGCATGCTCTTTGTTTGGCCTTGGATATGTCCTCCTTTTGAAAAGGAAAGAGGTAAATTAAACAGGTTTCTTTCCGATCTTGAAACATTGTGCCCCTCTTGGGCAGTGTTTGTCTCCCTCACAGTTCTTGTGAAAGTGCTTGCCAAGGGAAAGGCAGTTCCCAAGGCAGCTTTGGGAACCACAGGAAGGGCTGCCTTGGTGACAGAGGAGTCATCTGGGGGTGGGTCCTGGGAGGAACAGGCCAGCGGGAGCTGAGCTGTCCAGCACCTGGGGAAGGGTGGGCTGAGCCTCTGCCTTGCTTCCAGTGCTGACCGCAGGCTTGCCCTGGGGAGGGTCCTGCCTGTCAGGTGCCTTATGGCATATGAGCCCTTGTGCTCACCCTACATTTATAAGGTGAGGCCTGCTCCTGTGTGGCTGTCCAGCCCCTGCCTGCTGCTTGAATTATTTAAAAACAAAAATGACTGCTCCTCCCCTAGTATTTTGATGGACACTTGAAGAATTGTTCAACGGCCCAGACCAGAGTACTGCCTTTTGCATGGAATCAGTGGATGACTCTCTTCTCTTGGGGTAGATTTGAAAGGCCAGTGAGGACAGCTGAGTGTGAAAAGCAAAATTTAGATGACAAGGCACCCAGTAGTGTGCCAGCTGTGGGAGAAGCTGTTTGCTGGGAATCTGACCTGGATGGGTCATGAGGGACAGTGATAGCTTAGTGGGGCCAAGGTCACTGCCAGAAGGTGTGGTGTATGCCACCACACACACACACACCACATACATACACTACACACACCCACCATATACACACACACATCAGACCACATACATACACTATACACACACACCACATCACACCACATACACATACACACAAACGCACATAATCATACACAAAACATCATACACATAGATATGCCGCACACATACACACCACACCAGTGACGCTCACTGACTTCACCCGCCTCTGACTGACTCCTAAGGGCCCAGCATTCACCCCTCAGCAAGGATTGTGCTACTCCCAGTTATCACTCCCATGACCGCCTTGCCTGGCCCTGTGCAAGGGTGGGCTTGTTCAGCACCCTGCCAGGGTCAGCTAGCCTGACCTTGAGCTGCTGTCTCCTGTCACCTTGGCCAGCTGAGAGAGCTTCCAGGCAGGAAAAGGAAGTCTCTTTAGAGTGCCTGCAGATTTCCTGGGCAAAACAAGCCACTGTGCTGTGCGCTTTTGTGTGTTGTTGGCCAAAGATGTGGGCTCTAGAACCTGAGCGACTTCAGATCAGGTGCCAGCCCCGCCTCTTCACTGACTGTGCAGCCTGGGCACGAAGCTGAGCCCCTCAGTCCCAGTGTGCCTACCTCATGGGGTGTCAGGAGGGTAGCCAGCCAGTGAGAAGTGCCTGGCACCGTGCTGGCCCTTGGCTGGTGCATAGCAAAGGTGGCTGTTACTGCAGTTAACAGGCACCATAGTTGCTAACCAGGAACTCTGCCAGAAAGTCCCATTTGCTCCTCTCCATGCTTTTCCCCTTGCGCTTCGCTTTGCAGGAGCCGCAAGGACAGCTTGGGAAGCGACAGCTCCTCGGCCGTTATCCCCCGGGAGCTGATCCGCACACGGCAGCTGGAGAGCGTGCACCTGAAGTTTAACCAGGAGTCAGGGGCCCTCATCCCTCTCTGCCTAAGGTGAGCCGGAACAGTCCTCAGAGCCTCCACAGCGTGGCTTCCCCAGCACAGCTCCTCAAAAGCCATTTTAACCCGACAGGTGTCTGTGGGCAGTTGATGCCCAAGCAGAACCCAGGGCTGGAGGTGAAAGAGAGCCACTCAGGCAGCTCTGTCCTGGGCCTGCATGGGAAACTGGGGGCTTTGGGACTCCGTGTCGCTGGTCTCTGCAGTATCTTTCTCATCCAAGCCTCTGGGCAATACAAGTGGTTGAGAAGTCTTCAAGCAAAGCAGCAAGACCAGATGACCCTGCATCAGGGAGAGACTGTTCTGCATCTCTTAACCTAGAGCAGTGACAGCCCCAGGCACAGAGCGCGCGCGCGCACACACACACACACACACACACACACACACACACACACACACACTGGTCTGTCCTCTGGGTTGGCTGTGTATTTATTTATTTGGTTGGTTGGTTGGTTGGTTTATTGAGGCAGGGTCTCACTTTGTAGCACTGGCTGGCCTTGAACTCACAGAAAGCCTACCTCTGAGGGCTTAGATTAAAGGTGTATATCTACACCTGGCTCTTTTATCAACTGGTTCTCTGAGAAATTTCAAAGTCAGACTCTGGGGACCCGATACCGAGAACTCTCATTTATCTAGGAAGCATCCTTCAGCTGTGCCCCTTGTGGGAGGTCCAGTGACCAAGAGAGTCTGGGACAGCCCTGCCATCTCATAAGCTGGGTCATAGGGCAGTCCTACTGAGCTATCAGGAGTGGGAAGGTTCTGACAAGTTGGGCTGTCCTTCCTCTTGCTGGATGCTTTTCCCATGCAAGATGCTCAGTTCTTTACAAAATCCAGTGACCAACCAACCCAGCAGACTCCTTGAGGGACCAGAAGCCCAGCTCTGTCTCTCCGGCTGCTGTGAGACTCAACGCCTGCCCTGTGGCCAGGACTCAGCGCAAGGCTGGATCTCTTGCAGCTGGCCGCCTCCAGACCCTTTTGAATTCCATCCTCACTTTGCTAGCCGAGAAAGGAACAAAAATCCCTCTAAACTTGAGGGGACAGTAACAAGGAAAAAGGAATTGCATGGTTTGAACCCTGCCCACAAACCTAAGAGCCAGAAGTGGCGGGTGGAGGGGGAGTTAAGAGTTTAGCCAGCCTAACCAGGGCAAAGGTAGCAAGTGGCCTGAGTGAACAGGACCTCCCAGGGCCGGCACCAGATTCCAGCTATTTCTTCCTAGCAACTTCTTGGGCACAGGCGTGGGCTTTCAGTCTGGGGAAGGGTTAATCTGAAGCAGCCTGAGAACGCAGTGAGCAGGTTTTGCCTCCTTCAGTGCACGGAGGCATGCCTCTCCTTTGGCTGCCACTGCCTGCCCTTCCTCCACATGTATTTCCAGACTGGGGGCTAGTGGTGGCTTCTTTCAGTGACCCTGCTCAGCTTCAGATTTCTCTGGTTTTGCATTTTTAAATCGCCTCTAGGATAACTGCTTAAATGTTACAGGAAAGCCCAGAATAAATGGAAGATTTTACATGGGCACAGAAGTATTTTACTGGGGACACAAGGCACCGGGCACGCTGTCACCTTCCTTCTCTGGCCTCAGTGTTCTCCCCTTCCCTGAGGTTCTTTGAGCACTGATCTGGTGTGTCCCCTGCTAGGAGCACTTTGGGAGGATGCCTTCAGAGGACTGGTGGTGGCGGCCTTTCACTGATGTACTGCAGTGAGCACCACGTTTGGTTAAAGTCCCCTGTGGGTGGGCAGGGGCGCTCTGCCTCAGGGAACACTGCTGTGTAGCCCCAGCACCTCGGCTAGGTGTTCCTGGGCCCAGATTCCCACTGTCTCCGTGTTCACATCCCTAGGGGCAGACTCCTGCATGGCCGGCACTTTACCTACAAGAGTATCACGGGTGACATGGCCATCACGTTTGTGTCCACGGGAGTGGAAGGCGCCTTTGCCACAGAGGAGCACCCTTACGCAGCTCACGGACCCTGGTTGCAAGTGAGAAGCACCCTTCCTTTTTTTTTTTTTTTCCTTCAACTCTTCCCTTGCTGCTTGCCTTCCCTCCCAGGACAGCTCCTATGGCACCCATCCTGAGCTGGGGGCTGCCTCTTGGATGCAGAGCCTGAGCTCTGTGCGTGGTTATGAGTGCTGCTGCTGTCATACAGATCTCCAGTGACTATATGGAAACCTCACCAGAATTTATAGGAAGTGAACCCTGTGACCAGAGTGGGCAGGTCACCAGCAGCCAGAGCTCCCTGCTGGCCAGTCAGTTGCTCCCTCTTGCTCCTGATGGAAACCATTGAGCAGAACCCAAGTCAGGCATAATACTTGGGGCTAAGAGCCTCTTTCCAATGCTGTTCTGCCCAAGTCTCTAAGGGGTCATTAGCCTGATCCACCATACTTCTTTTTGGCTTTGGACTGTGTTTTAGAGCAGGGAAAAGGCAATTTACCTACCTTCTACAAGAAGGTCAAGAAAGGGAATCAGTGAATTGGGCACAGTGGCACACACATATAATCCCAGCACTCTGGGAGGCAGAAGCAGGTAGATCTCTATGAGTTCGAGACCACCCTGGGCTACAAAGCCAGGACTACACAGAGAAACCCTGTCTTTTGTTTGTTTGTTTTTAAGATTTATTTATTTACTATGTATACAGTGCTCTGTTTGCATGTACACCTGCATGCCAGAAGAGGGCACCAGATCTCATTATAGATGGTTGTGAGCCACCATGTGGTCGCTGGGAATTGAACTCAGGACCTTTGGAACATCAGCCAGTGCTCTTAACCTCTGAGCCATCTCCCCAGCCCCTGAGAAACCTTGTCTTAGGAAGGAAGGGAGGGAGGGAAGAAGGAAGGAAGGAAGGAAACAGACCGGGCCAGATGTGTTGATGCACACCCTTGATCCCAGCACTTGGGAGGCAAAGGCAGGGGATCTCTATGAATCTGAGGCCAGCCTGCTCTACATAGAGAGTTCCAGGTCAGCTAGGGCTACAAAGAGAGATCCTGTCTTTAAAAAAAAGAAAAAGGAAAGAAAAGAAAGGGATTCAAAGGGGCTGGGGAAAGAGAATCTGACCTACATCCAAAGATAACCAAGCTTTGTCTGTGATGTTAGAGAAAGCATGGGGGAATTACAGGAAAAAGAGAATTACACTGGCTTTGTGGATAACCCAGTCTGGGGTCTTCACTATTCTTAATATCGGTATGTTTTTGTCTGCTTGTGTCTGCTTGCAGCTGATGCCCTCCTCTCTCAGAGCCACCTCCTCCCTGCCCACCACCAAAGTCCTAACCCTTAATTAAAACAAACAGCAAACAAAGGATGCCAACCACTCTGCTCAGACTAAGCCCAGAGGTAGAAATGGAAGCTAGTGCTTTAGGGATATTGTGCTCCATAAATTATCTTGCCTTTTTCCACTGCTGTTATTACATTGTTTCATAACAAAATTACTTTGAACCATAAAGTTATAAATACATTTTAAAAGTCCCACTTGGTAACATTAGATTTCTGTCTGTGTGGTGTTGGTAGTTACTGTAGCAAAAGCTCTGAAGTGTAACATTTGAAATGAACCCAGCACAAGTGGAAAAGGCCTCCCACATCCTCACTCCCACCCCTAGCCATGTCCTAGGTTGCCATCCTTGTCTGACACCCAGAGGACACAGTTCTCTTCCCATAGACAGAACGTATAAAGGTGGGAAGTGGTGACCCCTCAGGAGACCCCAGCCACAGAGTCCACGGATCATTATTTCAGTAAGAGTGCAATGCCAGCAGGTCTTCGCCGAAGCGCCCTCTCAGTTCCTGTGTGTGCACTGGCAGTCCAAGCACTTTGAGGAGGAAATTAGGGACTGGAGTCTCCCTAGACTAAAGAAGAGTAAGAAGAGTGTCTGCCTTTTTTTTTCTTTTTCTTTTTCTTTCTTTCTTTCTTTCTTTCTTTCTTTCTTTCTTTCTTTCTTT